GATTCACACCCAAAAGTCTTCACAAAGCTGCAAACCCAATTATAGATTGGTTACATTTGGCCATCAATTTGAAGTGAAGGCAATTACCTTCTTTTTTCTTTTTTGTAAATAAAAAAAAAAAAAAATTAGAACAATTTATATCTTTGATAGTCTTTATTATGATTATGATGGCCGGTTTTGTTGTGTTGAATTGAAATAACAATGGAGGGACTATCTCCACATTTGAAATGTGTAATCTGAGAGAGAGAGAGAGAGAGAGGATGCTCCCTCAACATTAAAAGGCTGCTAATTTCTTGATGTGTTTTAATTTTTATTTATTTTTATGGACAAAATAAGGAAACAGAAGCCCCTAGCATTAAAGTTAGGAAAACAATGTGGTACTACAACACATTCATGCCTATAACAGCTCCTTTGCTTTCAAAATTCACACATTTGTGCCTATAACAGCTCATTTGCTTTCACTTTATCACTGCAGGAAATTCAGCTTTTAGCGGCGTTTTGTCAAAAACGCCGTTAATTCTTTTTGCGACGCTTAGCACCAAATGCCGAAGACGCGGCCGTCGCTATAACTTTATGATGTTTTAAAAACGTCGTTATATTAGTATAGGCGGCGTTTTTACTTGACAATATCATGACGTCATTATGATATTTAGCGACATTTTTTAAACGCCGTCATATCTTTTTAAAAAAATTAACTGTTAATATTTAGGGTTTAAGTGGCGTTTTTAAAAAACGCCGTGATATATCTTTTTTTTTTTTTTTTTTGAAATTGTGCTAATTTATGTGATTAAACTAAAAAAATACATATAATAAAACTGAATATCACTAATATGAAAAAATAACTTACATTCAAATAGCAAATGCATCATTAATTCACTTTCATCATTAATTCACTTTCCCATTCACCAATCACCATTACCCACAAAATAACATATCCACAAATGATATTTTAATATTACTCCCAAAATAACATATCCAAAAATTGTATTCACAATTCTCAACCAAAAAATTAATTACTACTTTGTATTCAAAGCCACAAAATAACATTACCCTCTTCTCTCTCTCTCTCTCTCTCTCTCTCTCTCTCTCTCTCTCACCACTCCCTCCCCCATTTAACACAAAAAATAAGAAGAAAGTGAACCAAAACACCCAACTCCCCAATCAGATCAAAGGAAAAAAAGAAAAAAGAAGAGAAATAAGAATCCAAAGGAAAGCCCCCATCCATCCTTCATTGTCATTTTGAATCGCTCTCCATGCTGGTTCCCATGGCCTTCAATCCTCTCGGTCTCTGCCAACCGTAAAACATAATAATAAACCAAGAAGAAGATCCAAACCATAATTACCATGCACCCAGCTTTAGTTTATAAGTTAAATTATTGGCTTCTAACTATAACTTCACCCATGGATGAAATTATTTTCTAGAGTCCAGTCAGCTATTTAGGATCTCACATCACTCAACTGTCTTCCCTACAGTACAACCAGCCAACCTACAATAAACCAAACTACAATAAACAATTAGTTATGAACTGGAAGCTCACCTCACTCAACCCACAATCTCACATCACTCACTCAAATGCAACAATAAAGTTTTGTAATATATTGTGGAGAGAGTCAAAATTCCATATAAGAAACTCTAATTCCTCAAAGAAAATGTCAAGAAATGCAAGAAAGTAATGAATGCACATGGTGTGGATTCAGGGAAGCCAATTTTTAACCCATAAAACAAATGCAAACATTCCTTTGAAGACACCTCAATCCTGAAGGCAGAACACTGAAAGCAGAGGAAGAATGCATATTATTGTAATAGTTCCTTTAGTTGTCGAACAATCATAAAAATCTTTAGTGTTTCTTTAGTTATCAGGCAATCATATCAAATCCAATACACAAGACCATTATAAATAATGCAGAAGAGAAATAATGTACACTGAAACACAAAAACATAATTATATACAGTAAATCCCATTCAACTGGATATCTAGACTACAGATATGATCAATGAAATATTCCGTATCTTCAAAACTAGAAAGGTGCCATCATCATTATTTCACATATATTTATGAGCACATATCAGCATCATAAAAAGTTCAAAAAACTATTGCATTCAGCAGCACTGTCACGTATGTTTGACTGCTCAAGCAAGTGCTGGTAACCAACTCATGTTGTTCAATGCTAAAACAATTTAACGGGAAAGAAACTAACTTTCATTTAGTGTTGTTGTTTCACTGAATGTTCAGAATCGTATGTAATAAAAACAAAAGCATACAGCAGAGAGAGAATCACCTGTTGTTTGAATTAGTGGTTTACCTGTATCTAGTAACAAAGTAATGTAGGAATGTAGAAATTTCAACTATTCCCAATTCCTTTCCCAGACACTGCCTAGTGCCTCCTCCAAACATGAAGAAGTAGTTCTACGACTCCGAGCTTTTGTCCTGCATTTGGCAGTCAAGGTTAAATTAGTTATTTCCTTACTCATTTGCGCTGTTATTAAGCCTACAATCAACTTACAACTGCTCACACATGAAATTTCAAATTTTAAGCTAAATAAATCTAAATGGGTAACATAGGAATTTATGATTTTTACTTACCATCCATCTCCATGGATTCAAGGCTAATGGGTCGGGATATAAACATGGGTCATAATTGTTTTCTCTTGTATAAACATATATTCTCCATCCTTTGGGAATGACAAACCCTGTAGAAACACAAAGAAAGTGCTTTGATTTATCTATTTGTTGATGAAATCTTATATTTTATATGGCCAATTGGCTTATCCAGACCATTGAAAATCCTATCATGCCAATAACATAAATCTCATGCTGAAAGGGTATTATAATGGTGGTGCATTCCTCTTTTATGATTGACCTAGCTAATAGTATGGACCATTATATTTATATCGGTGTTTAGAAGATAACATAAGAGACTCACCATTCAGTTCCACGTCTTGCGTAGTCTTCCTTAAAACCCCATTAACAATTGTAGCTAATCTTGATGTCTCAAAGATCACTTACACCCAATAAACACCAGATTAATCTAATAAATTTTCTTCAAGTTGAAACCCCCTTTTCAATTCCTGAGTTATGCAAACACAGAAACGAGCATAGAACACCACATAAATTGACAAAATTTTACTAGATTTGGGTCCATTGATACTATGGTGGGGCATCCCAGTATGTGTGATTTGAAAAAACTCCCATACCTTTTACAGTGACAGTAAAAAAAAAATATATTAACCCACTATATATACTGGTCTTCCATACTTATCAACTCCATGAAATCCATGAGGATAGCATTTCTTAACCTCTTTGTACTCTTCGAACTTAAATTCCTGCAGTATATATTAAACAAAGAATTCCACAATCTTAAATTGAATATGCATAGTTTTGGTGCTTTGAACTTCTCATCCTAAATATAGCATGATTTTAAAAAACTAATCAATCTTTTTAATTATAGACATTCAAGCTGATGTGTTTACTTGTTAGCTAACTCCTCAAAAAATCAAAATACATGCGAGGATATCAATGAATTAACCTATAATGAGACATCTATGCCATGGAGAGTTGTGTATGCCAGATGTGGAGACCCGTTTTTGTCTCAAACTAGAATAACCCCCAAATCCTAGGACGTAGTGTCAAATCCTAGAGCATAGTGACACATTAATAGCACAAATTTTAGCAGATTGTAAAACTTAAATTTTACTTTTCCTTTCTTAATATGCTCTGTTTTTTCTTTCCTAGCTTTTGGTACTAAATTAGAGGCATACTGCAGGAACCATACAACTTAGCAGTTAGAATAATTTAATTTAACAATTTTGCAAGGTTTTACTATTTTTTTTTATTAATTTTTTTTTTTTACTAATATGTTAAGTTCAATGAGGTAAGCATCATAATTTGTGTTTTTACAGTTAGGCATCATCAATATTCATAGAGAAACAGTCATTATCTTATCGCCATGATGCTTCCAAACAGGCATCAAAAGCATATATTATACACAGGTTTCAAAATTCACCAACTCAAAAAACAAAGAGAGACACTTCCTGTCTAGACCTGCCATAATAATTTGAGTGAATGCATATTAGTACCTATTCTTCATAAGCAACAGCCTTTTCAGGGGAAAAAATTGAAAATAAATCAATTATATTATCTGAGGACTGCAAATATGATCTAGACTTCCACTCATGGGTATCAAAATAGTTCCAGCAACAAATTGCTACAGGTAGATAGTCTGAAATTCATCTGTACAATTGTATCAACTTCAAATTCTTCTCGCCATTTAAGATATTGTAAAAACATATCTTTTGCTTTCATCAGATCAAAATCCCTCATTTGCAAAAATCTGACATGACATCATGGAAGAAAACCACTGTAAATATATGTAATAGTAAAATTACTCCAAACAGAACATCATCTTTGCCCGATTCACACTTCACCACACATTACTCAAACAATGCCACAAAAAGAGCTTAACAAACTTCATTGAAACTACTTCATCCCAGAAGGAGGCTAATTATTTATGTATGTAAAAATGTCACAGCAGAAACATACCGTAAAAGTGTGTGGTAATCACACTGTGTTTCCCTGGCAGATGGCCCTCGAGCAAAAGCAATTCAAGGAAAGATTGAACAATTTGATCATCTTTTGGATCACGAGCTTCTTTGGGAACTGCTAGCAAGCTTTGGCTCTTTCTAATTCTCTTTAGTGAATCCCGAATCTTGAGTGGGTAAGACAACATGGACTTGCAATTTAAGTTTAATGAAGACAATTTCTTGTACTCCTTTTGAGGAGGTAAGTTCCAATGGCTTTCTATAGGTGGATAGATAGATTTAGCTTTCTCTTTAGCAGAATTAGTATCCTCAAAACTAGAGGACTGCTTGCTCCCCAGAGAACCTTTTGATATAACTATTTCCTTATTTCTCTCCCTTGAATTATGCATATGTACTTATCAAAGCTATCGAGGAATGAAAAAGAATGAGAATTTCTTCTTTTACATCCAATCCTATTGTACCCAAATCATGTTCTTGCTTAGAAATTATCTATAACCAACATTTCAAAGTTATGTAATGGAAACATGCAAGAGCAGAATCTATAGCAGCAAGAACACAACAACTCCCTTCTAGAACTCTGTTGAATCCGAAGATTACCTGAATATAATAATAGAAGGTAAAGAAAACTGTCAAAAAAATTCTGATATGACTATTTCCCTAAATCTGTTCTTTGATTTATGCATATGCACATATAAAACGGACAATAACTTCTTCTTCTAAATCCAATCCTTCCATACCCAGATCAAGTTTATTTATTTATTTATTAAATGACCTAGATTACAAAAAAAGAATAACACTCTTGTTACATAGTACCTAATGTACGGAACAATATTACACAATAAAAGAGTTACAATTTTATATTAAAAAAATAATATTTAAAAGGGAAAAAACCACTTAATATTAATCCTTAATTCCTATTTAAAGGGAAAAAATAATATTTAAAAGGGAAAGAAATTGAAGGTACCTTTCCCACCAGTGAAGAGATTGAACTGTTCAGTGGCTTGACGGAGGAACATTTCAACTCCACTGACAATGATGGCTCCAGCAGCCTCAGCTTCTTTTAACAGGGTGGTTTTTCTAGGCATGTAAACGGCATCAAAGACAACTTTGTAATCACCCAAAGTCCCCTAAAAAATGAAATACCAAGTGTTAATTACAATGCCCGAGCCAAAAATGTTGTTTGGTTGGAATGAAAATATGGGGAGGGACCTTGGCCACAGGAATTTGATCTGTATTTGGATGCATTCCCAATGGTGTTGCATTAGCAAGGATTGCACCTTTCTCTGGCTGGAAAGATACTAGATTTTCAAAAGGCTGAGCCTCACCCGATACAGCCAGAGCAAGAGACTTTGCTATGTCTTTTGATATAGAACAATCAGGGTTAGAAACAAGGGCTCAAGTGCTCTTTCATAAGGCTATCTATACTTCATCAGGTCACCAATCATAGCATGACGCATCAATGTATAAGAAAGTAGTTTTAACATAGTGATTGGCAACCCAATGAAATGGAGAGGGAGGACCTTAAGCCCCAGAACAAAATAACTCTAATCCAAAGCATCATCTCATAGTAAGCTAATCTTAATAGTGAATTCGGATTCTACTCATAAATAGCTTCATAGAAATATACAAATTCTTGTACCATCTCCATGTTTGATTAAAAATATCTCAGAAATGGACCATAAGTTTCCTCCTCTAGTCACAAACTCACCATCAAGAATATACCTAGAGCACATTCATTTCATTTCACAAATCCTGATTAAACTTGTAAGTTTCTTGCTAAAAATTTCAATAACCAAATCGAGAGAGACGGGAAGGAAGAGAGAGAGAGAGAGAGAGAGAAATCAAGAAATCAACACCTCGCTGGTGCAAATGGTGGTGGCGGTGCAGATGGTGGTTGGTTGCGGTGGAGCTTCGAAATCGAGAGAGAGAACTTCAAAATCGAAATCGCTTTGAGATCTCTAAGACCGATCTGAATATCTGAATCTCAAAGATGAAACTCTGAGAAATCAAGCACAGCCAAAGATGAAATCAGATATATATATATATATATATAGAGAGAGAGAGAGAGAGAGAGTCGGTGGAGCTTTGAAATCGAGAAAGAGATCTTCAAAATCAAAATCGCTTTGAGATGAAATCAAAATCACTCTAAATCTCAAAGACGAACCAGTATGAATCTGAATCTCAAAGAAAATCGTTCTGAATCGAAATCGCTCTCAAGGGTTTAGAAACAATTGGGGGTGAGCAAGAGAAGCGCGATTTGAAGGCGTGAGGATTCAAAATAAGGGTTTACAAAAGGCTTTAACAATCATTCTCAGCTTCAAAATGGGCTCTGAGAATGAGAGGGTTGAGAGAGAGAGAGAGAGAGAGATCACTCGCTCGAGATCTGCGCGTATAACATCTCAGATTCAAAATAAGGGTTTCAAAACAGAGGGAGAAAGGAAGTGAGTGAGGCTAACGGATTTGGACGCGCTTTTAAACGCCTCCTATTATAAAACGGTGTCGTTTTGTTTAAAGGCATATGCGACGTTTAAAAAACGTCGTTAAATGTTAATAAGAGTGACATTTAAAAAAACATCATTAAAAAAACGCCACCATAACTGCTTTTTCCTGTAGTGTTATTAGATCTCGAATCATTTTCTAATTTAAAAAAAATAAAAATAAAATAATAAACCTTGAATATAAGCCACTTGAAGCCAATTGCACCTCCCTTGACGCAAATTGTACTTACAATGGCGACGCTACTAGAGAGTTAAAGAGGGCTTGTCTCAAAAGTATATCCTTAATTCTAATTTAAAATGGTTAAGATTATGAAATTGTGCATTGTTAGGCATCCTTGCAGTAATCCTTAGGGAGCTCATCTGATTAGTTGAGACTCTTGTAGGAGGTTGCTGCTCGCTTTTGGCAAAGTATTTTCGAGTATATCAAAAGGAGATTTAGGCTTCGTTTGGGAACATACTATTTTAATAATTTTTTGACTTTTTACAAAAAAAGATGTAAAGAAAAGTAAAGAGAGTGATATAACAACTTATAATAATTTTTTAATTTTTTAGCTAAGACATAAGTTTTCTAAACGAGGGCTAAGCATGTCTATTCATTGTCACATATCTTACTTTGCCTTGAAAACAATTTAATCCATACATGCCGATGTTTCCCTAGCCAAGAGAAGGCCCATTTGTGACCAAATCCCAACTTTTAGTGCATATAAATAACTCTAGGACTTTCCAAACTAAGACATAGAATCTAGTTAAACATATTTATCTTTTTGTGCAAAAAAATATCAATACTATGTGAATGGTCAAAATTGTGGCAATATATATACCTGTGGTCATTGCGCTGAAAAATGAATAAAGCTTGATACTTGTTAAGCCATTTCTTTTGGTAAAAAGTGTTACTAAATGTCCTTACTTTTTTTTTTTGGACCTCCCATTCTTTTAATTTTTTAATTATAATTTTGTCTTAACATCAATTTCTAATTTTATCCCCATTATTATCTTCCCAAACTCCCTAACCCTAATCCCATCCCCATTCATACCTCCACTCTGCCCGGCAACTCCGACTCTTGTTTTGTTTCTCTGGAAACCTCCCTTGTTCTCTTCCTCTAGCAACCTTTCTTCCCACTTAACACCCTTACTTTTCGGTGACCCCATCACTAATACAAACCTCAAGTCATTCTTTCTCATCGACGATTATCATTGTTGTGATGTCCACTGTCACAATCTTGACCATCTCAATTTCATTGCCTATCTTTTACGGCCTTAGACTAGAATAAAGAGAGGTTGACAACGAAAGGGATCCAAATAAAAAGAGATCGAAATTGTTGCGCTTGGTTCAAGTCACCAATGCTGAACAAACGGTGTTAGTTCAGACATATATCACCAAACAAATGGTGTTAGTTTGGTCAGTGCTGAACCAGATTTGGACGATGTAGACCATCGAACAAATTGTACTAGTTTGGGCATATACCATCGAACAAATGGTAGTGGTTCAATCATAGACTGCCGAATCAAATTTGGGCAAATTGCAAAAAAGAGTGTTGGCATGAGTTGTATGAGATAGTCTTGTAACTGATTCTAGATATATTTAGCTTTGATTCTAGTTATATTTAGTTTCCTTTAGAATAGATTTGGTTCCTAGTTTACAGGATGTAGAGTGTATCTATATAGATGTAAAGTGTATCTATATATTCTCTCTCTGTTTTACTGAATAATATATACTAAAAACATTGTTTCACATGGTATCAGAGTGTCTTCGATCTTACGACATTCTGTAATAAACCATCATGGAATTATTTTGTCAATGTAAATATCAAATTTATTAACTTTTTGAAAAATATTTAATTATTTATATCTTTGTTCTCCACACTAGTTGAGGTAGATGAAGCTAATTATTCCTTTTTTAGGCCAAGTTTGACATCCTTAAAATAATTCATCTTTTTATCTTTTTTTTTATCACATCACTAATTTACTTTTCTGCATATTTTTTCATAAAAAGATAAAAAATACATTTATTTAGATCATCCCAAATAACCCCTAATGTCCTAATGTTAACAAGGCGACCCCTTAATAAATACCCAAACAAAGAACAATTCATGCACTTCCATTCATTCAAAACTCAAAGAATAATAATAAACACATAAATAATATTAATGACCTTGTTTGAATTAGTTTTCTGAATTTAATTTTATTTTTTTTAATATTTTTTTGTTTTTAGTAATTATTTTATTTTTTTTATATTTTTTTGTTTTTAGTAATTTTTTTTAATATTTGAAGCAAATTTTTTTTTTTAAAAAACATTTTAGATGTAGCTAAACTGGATGTATCTAAAAAATAAAATAGTTATAAATTTTTTTTTAAAATCAATAAATACATAATAATACGAAAATGTACTGCAATTTCATATTTTTTTATGTTTGGTATTTAGCAAATTTTTTAAAGATTTTTTTCACAAATATTATACTTAATTATATTTATATTAAGTGTATCTAAAAAGTAAAAAAAATACTTAAAATATTAAAAAATCACTAGAAACCAAAAAAAAAAAAATCAATTTTAAAAAAATTAAAACCAAACAAGATGAATGATAAATCATCCATTGTAAAAGCAGGACAACTTGTAACTCAAGTGAGTTCTAGTTTTAAAAAATAATAATAATCACTGTGTTTGGTTTTAATTTTTTGAATTTAATTTTTTAGAAATTAAATTTTTTTTTATTTTTTATTTTTAATGAATATTTTAAAAAATTTAAGTAATTTTTATATTTTTTTAGATGTACCTTATTTTGATATATTTAAAAAGTAAAACATTGTAAAAAATTAATAAATACATAAGAATACAAAAATTGTATTAAATTTTTTTTTTGTATTTTTGATATTTAATGAACTTTTAAAAGATTTTTTTTCATAAATATTATATTTTTTAAATATATTTATGTTAGGTGTATTTAAAATTTTAAAAAAAAAATTGTTTAAGATATGAAAAAAATTGGGTAAAAATAGAAAAATATAGAAAATAAAAAATTTTAATTTTCTAAAAAGCAAATATGAAACCGGCTAATGAAATGACCTTTGATAAGATTGTGTGAAGAAGAATGATTCATATAACCGACCTCATTTAATGAAACTTAAGACTTTTAGTTTGATTTGATTTGGTTTAAATATGAAACCGGCTGGATAATAACAACAATTTCCACATTTGGGGGATGTTTCACACTTCAAAAAAACAGCGTCCGATAACATCTTCACATTATAATTTGCATACAATATGCTTCGAATTGGAACCTTTGCAGCATATATGTATATATATACAAAATATACACCCATCAATGGTAGAGATAGAGAGGTTGACCCAAGAAGAGAGCCATGTGGCTGTCTTGTGACTTTTACGAATACTATTTGACCTTTTTTTTGGGAGCTGCTTTGCTTTGCTTTGCTTTGCTGGCAAATTGAAGTCGGCAGCTTGATTTTGGCATTGGAGAAGTCAAAAGTATATATTTTTTATTTTGGCATCAGACGCCCTCCGTCCCTCCACACAGAGACATGGGTTTCTTGAGTTTGGTCCACAAAAACTTCAAAGAAGCAAGCATCCCCCTTTGTCATTAAAACCTTATCATTTGGCAATTACAATGCAATACAACATAGTGTGGAAAAGAGTGAACGAGGTAGAAAGGAGAGCAAGGCTTCTTCGGGTCCATTCGGATAATGCAGTTCACATAATGTTTACTTGAGTCTGATTCAAGCCTAATAAATTGAATTCAGACTATGTTCATGTACGAGCATAGAATAATTTTTTCATATAATTCTGTTGATCAAGTTTGCACCCCTCCAAATATCGTCACTCTACTACCTAAAAATACAAACATGAGCTAGCCGGCAGGTGTATACCAGAAACCTCTCCAAGGCCTAAGTCAACTACTAAACAATATACATAAGCTCTGTGTATTTTAGAGTAAGAATTGCGTTACCTCCACATAGGTCCAATCATGAGCTTTCATAGATTTTGTTTGGCTCAATCCTAGAAGGCCTTCAACACTCCATAACAGAGTCCTCTTAGAAATCACACACCTAGGATAATGTCTATCCTTAAGTCACCCTTCTCACTGCCAAACAAATGAGTTGGGTTTAACCCTTTTACCTTGGCTGGTGTCACTCAACAAACCAACACTTCCGCAACATTGAAGGCAGTACCGAAGTAAACCTCTATGTAGGATAGCGCCCTGCAGAGCTACCTTCAGCTCGGTTTGTTTCCCTACTAACACCTTGGTCCTCTTACGGGGTTTGGCGTTGGATAGCTAGGTCAGGGCCCAAGCAATCTACTACTAGCTAGCTCGGCGCCTAGCACGGCCCAGGACCGAGCTATCCAAACTTTAGCCACAAAAACCTGAAGCTAGGCCCAATGGGCCTAGTGCGGCCTAATTTAATCACATAAATTACCTTTTCAATTGCCCCTTAATTCCATTTGCATAGCATGTTTGGGATTATCCAATTTTGACCGACATGTCAACGTCCATGCCAATCGAACCCCAAAACCCACGGAGCGGCCGGGCTAAAATATTGACCGAACACAAACGTAGCTTGGTTCCTAGAATTGTGCCTGTCGTACACCCCGTCTTTTCATGCTTCTGACATCGTGTCCTTACTGGGACACGTGGCACGCGTTGATTGTCCCAACTCATTATGATAGCTATCACACGTTGCTCAAAAAATTTTGAAAAGTCCTACCGTTTTGCTTCTTTGTTGTATAGAACCCATATCTCTTTGAACAGTCACTCTTATTATACATCTTCCTTTCTGCAACTCTTCGCACGTTGAGCTCCACATGCTCTCCTTCTACATTCAAGTCTCAATCCAAGTATCTAAACTGCCTACCTTGCTTGCCATAGCTGCTGGTGATCCTTCCGTCGATTGGATCCGAATTTCACGCCCCAAATCCGTAAGTTTCTCGTGCCTATTTCTTTTCTCCACTGATACATTTTTATTTATTTCTTAAGAATGGCACTTTACTCATCAGATATGTGTATTATATTTACTCAAGACCCGAACAACTATCAAAAACCTCAAAACGCCACATTCATACCTGAAAAACATACTAACTGGAGCTTGAACCAGTCCAGAACCATGTTTTTTGATCCAAAATCGTCCAATGACCGAAATAGGAACCTGTTTGGGACCTCTAGGACAACTTTTGACTGGACTAGAAATGCCTTGTTTGAACAACCGATCTATAAACCTTCCACTCACTCTAAAACTGGGTTGTAATGACCGACCTAACGCCTCAAGCCGATTCTGCTCACTGGCTAAACTAAGCATGGCTCGTGATCCACTTGATGCCGAGCTAGGCTTATATAGTTTAAGCTATTTACTTAGCCCGGTTTATCACCTGGGCATAACACTTTTTATTTCCACTTTGCAGGCTTGACTAGGTTTGCCAGGCACACCCTTTACTCTGCCCCTTGGCGGTATTGCTTGACCGAGCCCACCTCAATTCATTTCGTCGCCGTGCTAGGCCACCGCATAGACTCCTAAAACACTAAATTTAAACACATGAGCAAGTACTGATTTATGGTAAGCTCACTAGGTGCTATAGCCGAATTTCGGAGGGAATACAGCATCCTTGACGACGTTCAATTCACATTATCCAAGCTAGAAACAACACCATGGGGCAAGCCCGGTTTTGTTCCTTTCACCTTTTTATCCATTAGGATTAGGGGCATCGCTGCCAACGCTATCTTCTTCTAAGTTGTTGGTTGTCATTATGATCTGGTCCTCACTGTTTGGTTGTCTTAGGACTAGACTTTCAGTCGGGTCTTCGCTTGTAGTATTGCAGGTTGCTCATTCTTTCCTTTCTTGAGTGCCTTACTGTGGGGGCTGCGCTATCCCTACGGCACCTTCTCCCCTTTCCCCGGTTAAGTCAATCGGGCAAACCTGATGACTTCCTTGGGAAAATTTGACCACAAAGTCTGCTAAAGCTTTCGCTTTTATTGCTTCTTGGCCGAAACTTAATGTCGAACTGCCCTAACTCCACTACCAATTTCAAAATTCGTCCAGAAAAATCCACCCTCTTAAATAATGTTTTTAACAAGAAATCTATTAAAATAATCACTGTGTGGGTGTAGAAGTAGTGCGACAATTTTCTGGAAGCCATCATTAAGG